CCCTGCCTCATCCAGTTGTGAATGGTGGTGGACAATTAAACAACTCACAGGAGGAGGAGGCTCCACAAATATCCCCATCCTCAATGATGGAAGTGGGGATGTTCGCTGATGATTGCCCAACTTTCAGGACCATTCGCAACTCCTCAGATAGTGAAGCAGTCAATGTTCAAAAGCAAATAGATCTAGACAATATCCAGGCTTGGGCTAACAAGTGACAAATAACATTGCACCACACAAATGCCAGGCTATGACCATCACCAATAAGAGACAATCTAACCACCACTCCTTGACATTCAATGGTGTTACCATCACTGAATCCCCCACTATCAACACCCTGGGGGTTACCATTGACCAGAAACTCAACTGGACTCACCACATAAACACAGCGGCTACAAAAGCAGGTCAGAGGCTGGGAATCCTGTGGTGAGTAACTCTCCTCCTGGCTCCCCAAAGCCTGTCCCACCATCTACAAGGCACAAGTCAGGAGTGTGATGGAATACTCCCCACTTGCCCTGGATGGGGGCAGCTCCAACAACACTCAAGAAGTTTGACATCATCCAGGACAAAGCAGCCCCCGCTTGATTGGCACCACATCCACAAACATCCCACTCCCTCCACCACCGACGCTCAGTCACAGCAGTGTGTACCATCTACAAGATGCACTGCAGAAATTCACCAAAGATCCTCAGGCAGCACCTTCCAAACCCACAACCCACTTCCATCCAGAAGGACAAGGGGCAGCAGATACATGAGAACACCAGCCCCCTGCAAGTTCCCCTCCGAGCCCCTCCCCATCCTGACTTGGAAAATATCCCCGTTCCTTCAGGGTCACTGGGTCAGAATCCTGGAATTCCCTCCCTAAGGGACATTGTGGGTCAACCCACAGCACATGGGCTGCAGCGGTTCAAGAAGGCAGCTCACCCCCACCTTCTCAATGAGGCACCTAGCAATGCACATATCCCAAAAATGAATAAAAAACTACAAGTAGCCATTAGTAAGCAATGAAAGCTGGCACAGTCAGTGATGCCCACATCCTGTAAACACAGGTTAAAAAAATGGCTCACTTAAAGGCAGATGTGAATACAATTCTGTGAACCGAAAGGTATTAAGGGATGTGGATTAAAGGCAGGATACAGAGTAAAATTGTAATGAAGGGGCAGAACAGGATAAAAAGGCTGAGTGGCCTCTTCCTGGCCCGATTAGCAGTCATTAACGTGAGAAAAGTTGCTCAGCTGTGTAAAAGCAAAACGGATCTCCAGGCTGGGAAGCGCATGGACCTGGGACAGGAGCGGATTATCGTTCTGCTGCAGTAAACCCGATGCTCTGGCTAAGCAGATTTTCAGAGGATTGTTCAGGATGTTCCACACAATGCTTGTGACTAATGCACAAAAAAAAAGAAGCACTTTCATTCCAGTGTTTGAGGAGGCAATGGCCTCATGGTATTATCACCAGACTGTTAATCCAGAGACCTAGATAACATGCTGGGGATCCGGGTTCAAATCCCGCCATGGCAGATGTTGGAATTTGAATTTGAATTTGATAAGATATCTGAAATTAAGAATCTAATGATGACCAGGAATCCATTGCTGATTGTTGGGAAAAATCCATCTGGTTCACTAATGTCCTTTAGGGAAGGAAGCTGCCATCCTTACCTGGTCTGGCCTACATGTGACTCCAGACCCACAGCAATGTGGTTGACTCTCAAATGCCCTCTGGGCAATTAGGGATGGGCAATAAATGCTGCCTGGCCAGCGGCGCCCTCATCCCGTGAATGAATAAAGGAAATCATCCCTTGGTGTCCCTTCACAGTGACAGCCCCAGCTCCATGGGTAGCCCCTATGTCACTGAGTCAGAAGCCTGTGGTTCCAATCTATTAATCTTGCAGCAAATTACCTGGTTATTGTTGGTGGGAGCTTCACTGTGCGAGACGCACAGTGTGACTGTAGTTTAGATCATTGGCTGCAAAACAATTCAGGACCTCCCGAGGTATTAGAGGTGCTATTGAAATGAAGTTCTGAAAAATGACAGTCCTGAAATGACAGTTCTGAGGAAGGATCATGGGACCCGAAATGTTAACTCTGATTTCTCTCCACAGATGCTGCCAGACCTACTGAGCTTTTCCAGCAAATTCTGATTTTGTTTCTGATTTCCAGCATCTGCAGTTTATTTGGATTTTTTTTGTTATAGAAATGAAAGCCTGTCGATGAAAGTATTATATAGACCGTACAGTGTAGAAAAAGGCCATTCAGCCCTGTTGGTCCAGGCTTTCCCCCAACTTTTCCCTCCCTGCCCAGTGGGGATATCATCCTATTCCTTTATTCTGACACAATCAGTGAATTAAGAGATCTGTGCTATTCTCCTTAACTGCCCCTGAAGTCATACATTCTTCTGGACATTTTCAAATCAGCATGTTCAGGGACATTTTGATATACTATCAGAGCAGGTGGGATTTGAGCCCAGACTGCCTGGCTCAGAGGTGAGAACACTATCACTGAACCATTAGAATATCCCCTCAGTCCTAACTTCTGAAGCCAATGACCACTTGCTGATGTTTCCATAATGATGGCCTAATAATCAATTGTTCATCAGGAATTGACTAACTCTGTGGGTTGGTTTATTCAAAACACATTACAAGTTATGAAGCAGATATTGTCTTGACTGATTAAAATTTTATGCGTGCAGCACGTAGATCCACAGCACACTCACTGTCAGGCAGAGGCACAGCACTGTATACACACTGCACACAGTGTCACTCACTCTCAGGCAGAGGCACAGCACTGTATACGCACTGCACACAGTGTCACTCACTGTCAGGCAGAGGCACAACACTGTATACACACTGCACACCGTGTCACTTACCGTCAGGCAGAGGCACAGCACTGTATACACACTGCACACTGTGTCACTTACAGTCAGGCAGAGACACAGCACTGTATACACACTGCACACAGTGTCACTCACTGTCAGGCAGAGGCATAACACTATATACACACTGCACATGGTGTCACTCACCGTCAGGCAGAGGCACAGCACTGTATACACACTGCACACAGTGTCACTCACTGTCAGGCAGAGGCATAACACTATATACACACTGCA